ATCTCTACCCCTCCAGCTGTATGTATAACCTTTCCCCCCTATTACCCTTGGTCTAAACCTTGCTAATGGATCCATGCAAAGGGGGAACCACCAATGATTGGGGCAACGGTTGGGTCACATCCCATGGAGCTGCCTGTGCAGCAGCTGGCAAGCCATGTCTCTTTGAAGAGTACGGTGTCACCGCTGATCACTGTGCCATTGAGGCTCCCTGGCAGAAGACGGCGCTCAACACCGAAGGCGTTGCAGCTGATCTCTACTGGCAGTATGGAGACACACTGAGCTCTGGAAAATCCGCCGATGATGGAAACACATTCTACTATGGAACTAGCGAATTTACCTGTTTGGTGACGGACCACGTCGCAGCCATCAACTCCTAGACCTCAGAACTGACGGGGTTGGGTTGGAGGGGGAGATGCAGACCCATGTCAGCATCAGATAATTGAAATGCGGTTGTTCTAACGGACCTCAAATTACTGCATCTACTAAACAGGAACCATGCATTGTATGCTCTTTGTCATAATATTTGAAGATAGTTGCGCAGGTTATATGCAAACGACGCAGAATCACGCAGAAATGTCTATTTTGAGGGTATTTATACTTATGTACATGCAACTTGGTGCTTTTCTAGAATTAATTAGATTGAGCTAGCCCCATGAGGGTATAGAGGTTTTGGTGTCACAATAGCAGAGGCTTAATGACTCGGTGCCTTCTTAGGGACTTCAGCGTAGGCTGAAGGTTCGGGGAGGGGTTCATCCCGCTCCAGGGCGTCGGTTGGCGGTCCACGGTAATTGTGGTAGCCCCAGACACCATACCAGATGGCAGCAATAGCAATGAAGCCAGCAAACACCACAGAGGCATAGTTCATGCTCTCCTTGGTGACAGTTTTCAGGGTTGGCATGCAGAAAAGGGGAATTGCAAGAACACTCCAGCCTAGAATAATTGAAACGGTTAGCGTGGAAACTCGAAGTGTGTAACAAACGGAATTCTCAAGGCAACTCACAAAGAGCAATAACGTTAGCGATCAGGCCAAAGACACCAAAGTTGAAACTACCGTTCTTGATATCCTCCCGACCACGGAAGATCAGAGAAACGGCGATCGGGCAGGCATAACTCGTGGTCAAGAAAATGATACCAACACCGGAGAAGGCGTTGTACGCCGCAGTGGAGCCAAAGTAGATCACGCCGAGAATAATCTCCACTATCATACCCAATATCAAGGCATTGAAAGGAATGTCAAGCGACTTGTTGACTTTGCTCCACCAGCCCGAACCGGGAATGCCGCCGTCACGGGCAAAGGCCCAAGTGCAGCGAGAGGTGGCGGTCACACAACCAACACCGCAAATGATACCCAATACGAGTAGGGGGATCAGCAGGCAGAATGCACCCGCCGAGTTGCCAAGGGCGGCCTTGAAAATGGCAGGGGTGGGCTGACCCGAGGCGAGATTGACCAGGTATGTGAGATCGGGAAGCACGAAGCAGACGGGCACCAAAAAGAGAAGACCGGCGACAAAGTTGATGATGATGGTTCCGACCATGGCCTTGGGGACCATGATGGCGGGTTCTTGGACCTCCTCGCAGAGACTACCATCAATTAGCATGTGGAACGGGTGATGTGGAGAATTTTATTTTCTTTTCCAAGGGGTCAAACTCACGAGATAATCATGCCGGTCGCCGATGTCGCGTAAGCGGCCTGTAGGAGACCGATGATGAAGGACCACCCCGCAGGCCACCCAGCCTGAGTCTCAAAGTGACCAAAGACCCACGCGGCATCGTGACGACCTTGCTTGGCGATAGCCAACAGACAGACAACAATGGCGAGTAGACCAGCCATGGTCCAGAAAATGGCGAATGTCTATAAGAAAAAAAAAAGGATAATCAGTACTGTTACCCCATGGGGTTAGGGAGCACGTGCAAATACATACCTCTAGCCATGGCAGCCATTTGTTGCCAAATGCCGAGATGGAGTGCGTCAGCAGGGTAATGGCCAAGAAGATGAGAAAGATCTGGTATGCCTGGAAATCGTCGGTGATTCCGACACCCGGCGATTTTTCAAAAACATTCAGACAGGCCACGAAGAGTAAGGCAGTTCCAAAATTGACGGCGAGGGTAATGGTGATGTTTCCTGCAACGTAAGACCAGCCACAGATCCACGATGCAACGCGACGACACCACAAGGGCGACAGTACGAATGTTTGATAGTAGACACCACCTGCAGTCGGGTAGACCGAAGTGATTTCCGCCAATGAAATAGCCACACAGAGGATTAAGAAGGAGATGATCACCCAACCCCAGATGACATTGGCCGGCCCACCTGCCGCGAGTGGGTAGTATAGAGTGGTCGACAAGCCGTAGGGAACTGAAGAGAGAATGAAGCACATGAAAGTGACTTGCCAGATTGATCGATTGCGAGACAATTCAGGCTTGTATCCCATATCCTCCAGGGTACGATCCGCATTGGAGGTGCTCACACCCTGTTCGATCGAAGTCACCCCGGAAGGGCGACGGAGTCTAACATCGACAGCCATAAGGAATGATTATTGCGTGATGTTTCTGATCTGCATACGGTGCAGATAGGAGTAATATGACAGTAGAGAAGGTGAAAAGAAAGATGGAGAAATATGAAATACAAAAACAAAAGATAGTAAAAAAAAAGAAAAAAAGAAAAAAAAAAAAAAGAAAAGAAAAAAAACCCCCAAGTGGAGACTAGGCGGCAAAAAGAAAAAGGAAAAATTCCCAAAAGGATAACTAGCAGATTAAAATGTCAGCGAATGAGATCCACCATGGTCCACCCAAATCCACAAGAGACCCACCTTTACCCATAAAACACGGGCCCAATTAAACTTTGAACCAGTCAACGTGCATGGAGGGGCGTAGGCAATAGTTGGAGCCACCAATCAGACTGCTTCCAATCCTAAAACCGACTAGTGTCATCCCATGTGTTATCCTTGTTTCGAAACCTTCCAGAAGATTATTTTCACTAGCCCTGGAAGGAAGACGGAGGTTTAGTTGGCTTGGAGGTGTCTAGCATATATAAGAATATGTACTATGATTTTAGGATGATATCAGGATATCAGTTGACCAGAATACCTATGCAACTATGGCATTTTTCCATCCTAGATACTCCGTATAGTTCAGTAACTTTATACCCCGAGTAAGAAACCGCATGATGTCAGGGGCGTTGGAGGCGCCACAGCTTCCCGAGGTACGTTGGGAAGTCCAAGGGAAATAGTCCCCGAACAAATAAAACCCTTTGGATTTTATATGCTTTGTATTCTACCTTATTGTAGGTTTGTACGGAGTGGAATATATGGAGTTGTAAAAAATTTCGATACCCTGTCGCCCCAAATATGGTTAAAATCCCCCCGTTCCGATATCAGCCGTGTTCCGACAGGCCATCCCGCAAGTATAGAGATAGCCTCAATTAAAAAGGGGGCGTTCCCAGAATGTTTCATTGGTCACAGCTATCTCGCGAATTTAATTATTTTAGTCAATTCTCGACGGCGTACTCCGTAATAAATTTCAATTGTTAAGAATTGAGGCAATTTTGAGCGAATCTCGAGAGGCTACCTTTTGTCCAGGAAATTCAAGTTCGAATATGTGTATCGTAATTGGTCATAGAGACCTCGGGAATGTCCAGATGTAACATCTGTTAGCGACATTGTGCCCAAGTCAGACACCGTTCCAACCTGGGAGGTTGCCCCGTCTCCTAATATTTCGCATATCTTCGGGTGAACACCTTTGCATCAATCTTCGTCCAAATCCCATGCACACTCGGCACAATGCAATGTTCCAGGAATTACATCAGTTTTAATAAAGTTAACCTCTGGATGCTCATTTATCAAAGAGGGAGTGTATAGGTCCGTGAGAGATCCTTTGGGGACATTTTCGCTCGGGATACACTCGAGGCCCGTGGGGCCCTTTATCCAACATAGCGACAGTAGTGCGGTGGCAGCGAATCAGGTTTAGGAACACGAACGTATCCATCCAACTTGATGTCAAAATACGCTTTCCCAGGATGCACCAGTCGCGTAGTGTGCAGAGATATCTTGGGAAAATGTATACAGACGCCATAGAAGATCCTAACCTTAGAACTCCCGGTCGCTAAGACTAAAGTGTGCCCAGAGGTAGACCCAACTCGACAATTGCTCTTTCCGGTCCCAATACCAGCCCTAGCTATACGCTTGGCATCTCGCCCTTGAGGATATGGAATCTTGTGCTTCAGATACTAGCATGAAACAGAGGGTGTCTACGGGTAGACACTCGGCTTAACTCAAAAGTCCCCGGTCTCGGGTCTACGATAAGTTGCTTTCATGCTCATGGCCTTGGATATGATCAAGTATAGATCTATGGAATTTATGAATTCCAACGCCATATGCAACGTACAAATTGAAATTGGAGTAAATCTGGATAAACTTCCACGGAACACCCAAGGCTTCTCGGTCCGCGGTGGGGGATGTGGGGGTCGATGACAGGGGCTTTCTAGGATTGGAAAAGTGTGGGGGAAGTCAGCTTTGAATGAGATAGACTCATTTTGCACATAACATCACTTACGAGGGAGTGGTCACTTTGACGTTATCAAAATATACGTATCTCGTTCTCCTATAGGAAAATACTATGTTTATATTGTCTATGAGCTCTCTAGATCTTCTCTAGATCTTGTAGTGACAAATTTACTATTTGTAGGTTGTAACATTTTAAATCTGTACTGTGATATCAATCATCGGTGCATCTTATGCCAAGGTGATGTCGGTTTCCTAATCAAGTGTCGGCAAAAGTCATCACAGCAGTCATAACACGTTGCGTAAGGACAAGTACCAGTAAGCCAGAGTGTTTCAAAGTAATCCTCTCCTCATTCTCTTCCACCAGACCCTCATACAGGATGGCTATCCAACCTCCAAGATCATTTCAACATTTAGCTACATACCTCGCTATGACAATCAAGAATATATTTTCCCCCGTCACCACTACCATCAACCATCTCAAAGCAAAGTATCACCACTATGTCCAAGCTCATAGAGCCAAACTACTCTTACAAGAGCTCCAAGAAGCAGAACATACCATCCCCAGGAGATAAGACGGGTCAACAATATCATCCAACGAGAAATCCATCTCGGTGCGAAATATTCCCACTATGACATTCAAGTACAAAATAAGAGCCCGCCAGAACCTTCCACCCTAAAGAAACTTCAGGAGTGCGATATCGAGCTCAAGCTTCTCAGCATTGAATACTTCCAGCATCTGGAACGGAAGGCAGAACTCATGAATTGCAAGCCACCAGGGTGCCTCGTTCATCGGTATGCAAAAAGTCTGCACAACCCCAGAGAGCTCTGGAATAGTGGACGGGCCTACTTCCAACTTCGTGGCGGCTGCTGCGCTCGTGAGTGTGGCTGCTGTGAACGATCTTGGCACACCATTCGGGACCCTTCTGGAGAGGTTCGATATATGCACTGCACAGGAAGTTGTGGATGCTGCACCCGCCACCGGGGCTACTCTTCCTCAAATGTGGTAATTAATCGAAAGTCAGACATCTAACCTAAACGAGTTGTTGGTCGACAAGTCCAGGGTTGTAGCGCCACAACCGAGAGAGACTTTCCCTTTACGGGGGAGTTTTCTTTTGCGAACAGGAATTGAGAATCTAAAGATGGGCGAACTAGAAGATTTCTCTTATACAATAAATAATTTGGGGGTCTTGGGTGCTTGAACGCTCGATATTTTTCTTGATCGCATGGTCCATACTGCATCAAGATCGAGTATAGGCCGTACAAGGCGGGATGTCATGCAACCGCCCTGCCCCGGCATTGCTTGTTTGGGCTTAGTATTCTTTGAGTCCGTGTAGGCTAGTACTATTACATATATGGACTAGCCTCTGATTGGTTGGATCGTGACTATATTTCCTATTCTGGTATTGGTATCAACTTTTCCCATTTTCTGATACGAGGTGTTTTGATTACTCTTTCCCTAGTCCCTTCGCCCAGTCCCTTTGCCCAGCATTTCGTATCTTTCCTTCCTCTTGAGCTGGGACCAATATTGCTCCCGGACCGGTCACCGGACCGGTGCTATCATTCAAGGGCCATTTTTTGCTCGTGTTCTATGAAATTGTTAAGAGAGTATTCAGGATATAAGGTGTCTAATGATTATCAGAATCAGTTCCTATACGTCGCACAATGTGATCTTATCTCTTCGGCTAGAATTAGTGGCTTACCCCAGGATTGTACATCTGTCCCGCCCCAACTACCAGCGGCCACGGACCCCTTTACTGGCCAGTCATTGACCAGAAATATAGCAATCTAGTATCACATGGCTGAGGGTCTCTGTACGATTAGATGAGACAGCTCTTGGAAAAAAAACATTTAAATCTAGCACATAATCCTGTCGATCGTTTCATTTTTATCCAGCATTTTCCTCTTTCGTTGTCGCACAAGATGGCGATAGAGATTCAACACGCCCAATACGCTATGGATCCACATCCGATCAACGAAAAGGGCAAAAAGCTTAGAAATTTGGTTGAAGCCGATCTGCTCGATGATCGTTATACAACCACCACTAAACGTGGTCTCAAGAATCGCCATGTTCAGCTAATGGCTCTCGGAGGCACGATCGGAACTGGTAAGCCTACAATTTTTGCGACATAAGAAAAGGGAAGAATTAATCATGCAAGTCAGGGCTTTTCGTGGGTTCCGGTCAAGGCCTGTTCATTGGAGGCCCCGGGTCACTTCTTCTGGGTTATATCTTCATCTCGGCCATGGTTTATGGCTTGGTCACGGCCATCGCCGAGGTTGGGGCCTATCTGCCGGTACATGGTGGAACGATGAGTTATCATGGATTCCGATACGTGTCGCGGAGTATGGGTTTCGCCATGGGATATCTATACTGGTACTCGCTCGGAATTTTAGTGCCGTACGAAATCACAGCTGCTGGACTGGTTATTGGATACTGGGACAAGAGTGGATCGATCAATATCGCTGTGTGGATCACCATCATGATGATCGTCATTGTTGCGCTCAACTTTATGCCCGTGCGGGTATACGGCGAGTCGGAGTTCTGGTTCGCCGGGGTGAAGATCATCACTCTGATCGGCTTGTTGATGGTGTCTTTCATCCTCTTCTGGGGTGGTGGGCCTAACCGCCAGCGACTGGGCTTTCATTATTGGAAGAATCCGGGCTCATTCAACGAGTATCTCGTGACTGGAGATCCGGGCCGCTTTGTGGCCTTGCTGAAATGCACAGTATCTAGCGCCATTGCGTTCATCTTCGCCCCAGAGCTGATTGTGATCAGTGGAGGTGAGATGGAGTCCCCTCGACGGAATGTACCTCGGGCAGCCCGGAGATACATTTATCGTTTGGTTTTCTTTTACATCTTTGGTGTGCTAGCCATCGGTGTTATTTGCCCATCCAATGCCAGTCGCCTGACCGAGGGTGATGGCACGGTAAGCTCATCTCCATTCGTGATCGGCATCAAAAACGCCGGCATCCCCGTCTTGGACCACATCGTGAACGCTGCCGTCTTGACATCTGCCTGGTCTGCAGGAAATTCCTTCCTGTACATGTCTTCGCGGTCGCTCTATTCCTTGGCTATGTCAGGCAACGCGCCACATGTGTTCAAAACATGTAACCGATGGGGTGTCCCATACTGGGCCGTGTCGGCTTCGGCATGCTTCTCGGCATTGGCCTACCTTGCCGTTGGCAGCTCCAGTTCAGTTGTATTCAACTGGTTTGTCAACTTCACCAACACTTCTGGCTTCATATCATGGATCTGCTGTTCCGTGGTGTTTTTCCGTTTCCGCAAAGCCGTCAAAGCACAGGGCATCGAACAGCCGTATCGATCAAAGATACAGCCATATGGTGTTTACTTTGGCCTCGCAGGTGCCAGTCTCATGTTGCTCATCAATGGGTTCACAGTATTCTTCCCATCGGAATGGTCTGTGAGCAATTTTTTCACCGCATACATCGGTATTCCCGCTTTTTTGATTCTTTACTTCGGACACCGGGTAATGTATTGGAGTGATCCATGGGCATGGCGCCCGGAGGAAGTTGATATGCACACTGGTCTGGATGAGATTATTGCTGCTGAGCAACCACCGAAACCACGGGGGCCATGGTGGAAGTTCTGGTGATAGAGGATGAAGCCATTGTTTGACAGTGTTTGAAGTGTTTATAATGTTTGTCAATGTCATGACGCATCCACATCAGAGCGGGTATGTTGCTGCCACTCACCCGCCTTATCACCATTCTAATGTCCAACATCATCCTGTAACATCCAATAACAACTAATAACTTCCAATTATTCAACATCTTATTACTCCGGAACTCGGAGAGTGTCTTATCAACCGATTCCATTGTGGAAATAGCCAGTGAATAGCCAGTGACAGCCTCTTCATTATTCCCGTCGTCCCACCTATTCTCTTTCGTACTCGGTATACGCCGTTGACCGTCTACAATCTGCTCTGGAGAACTGAGGCACTTAGTATCGGCCCAGAGGTTTAAAGACTGTCTTGTCGAACATCCTGTGAACATTTTATTTTGAGCTGTGAACCCGAAAATTCGAAGAATCCGAAACTATGGCCGTGCTACCCATTACTGTCCATCCGCTTCAGCCTCCTTCGGGATCTAGCATTGATTTCGGTGCTGAGATTCGAGGTGCTGATTTGGAAAATTTAACTGGTTCGTGGATTACCTCCAACTACACGAGCACAAGTTGATGATCATATAGAGGAGCAGTTTGCGACTATTCGGAAAGCCCTCTACAAGCACCATGTCGTGGTGTTCAAGCACCAGAAAGGGCTATCACCTAAAGCCCAGTATGAACTGACCAAGCGCTTTGATCCAGCCTCCGACAACTACGGACATGGCAATACCATCGATGCGAAGCGAAGCATTCTCCATCCTGATCTCAAGACTGTCCCTCACCAGCCACAAGTGCAGGTGATTGGAAATGGACATGTTGATTCGTACGAGGGTCTTAAAGATATCACATTGCGACACCCACACCACCGGACATTCCACCAGGATCACATCCCGGACGAGAAGGACTATGAATTCACGCGGTTTTATCGCTGGCACATCGATGCTGCACTTTACGACCTATACCCGCCCCAAGTGACAACGCTCATGGCTGTGAGTGTGCCTAAAGGCCGCCGGCAGACATTATTGTATGATGATGGAACCGGAGAAACAATGGATGTACCACTTGGCACAACGGCGTTTGTGAGCGGCGAGCGGATGTTTCAACTTCTTTCACCGGAGGATAAGGAGTTTGCGAAGACGAGCAAAATAGAATATGCCCCTCACCCGTAAGTCTTCCATTGATATGCTCCTGGTTTTGCTCAACTAAGCTAACCACGAGCAGTTACATCTGGATGAGCCAGGCCCGTTCCCGTTCCACTGGGCTCGGTATCCACTCAGAAGGCCTCGAGTTGCCCGACTCAGATTTACCACCTATCGACCCTAGCAAAATCATGGTCTTCCCGATGACCTGGAAAAACCCAGTGACGGGCAAATTGGCTCTACAGATCCATCCCTCCGCCATTCGCCGTATTCATTGCGCCGATGGAACCACGATCGACGACTTGGCCCGCGTGCGGGATATTGTCTATAAGTTGCAGCGGCCGGCCATCAGCCCTCAGTATGTATATCCGCATGACTGGGAGGATGATGACTTGGTGTTATTCAACAACCGCGGCGTGCTGCATTCCGTGGTTGGTGCGTTCAAACCTGACGAGGTCCGATTGTTCCGTCAATGTAACTTGGCCGCTTCAGAGCCTCCGGTTGGGGCATGAGTGCGTTTAGTTTTGATTTAACGAGTATCATGTGTGTTTGTAAATATCGGGCCATGGGAGGCATTTCAACTTTGGATTTAGACTGTAATCAGTAATGGCATATTATTATATCGAATGTTGTACATATTAAACTCCGTTTTGCGTCTACAACAAGGTCTATGAGCGTATTGACAAGGGTTATCGGACAATATAAAACCCATTTACAGCAATATGGCTCTCTCTGATCTCATCGGTGACAGACCTAACTCCAATCAGGTGTAGCGGAACTTGTTCTACCAACTTCTGTCCACGTGTGATGATATTGGTATATCCCTCGACCGTGCGATCAATCCAACTCGAGTTCTGTTGGGGGTCCGAGACCGCCGGGTATTTTACGGCCCACGCGGGATGAGCCAGAGTATCCTGCACAACAGATGCGTCGTATACATCAGCGAGCAGAGCCGCCTCTACAGCTGCCGCTTGCGCGTCAGCGAGATCTTTGCTCGTGGTCCCAGTCGGTGGTGGGATTTCAGCGCGGAGATATCCCAAAACACGAATCTCGACCTTGCTTGTTTGAAGAGGGACATCCTCGAGGAGGCGAATTGCGACCACGCGTTTCGATATCTGAGCCAGATTTACTCTCGCCGCTTGGAGGGGATCCAATGCCCGCACAGACAAGATAGCTGGGTACCATTCATCAACCGGGGGGCCTTTGCTCGACCCAGTATCAAATCGAGCCCAGCCAAAGAAGTAGCCCCTCAACTGCTCAGTCACCCAGTCTGGCATTCTAATTAAGTTCAACTTCGGTGTATCATCAGAGTTGTTGGGGTAGGAGATTTGATCGGTTTGACAGCGAGCTTTGAATGTCATAGGAAACGGTGGCTGTGGACCGACATCGATAGAGACCGGGCTGGTTCCAGCGATTTCTGGCGCTGCTGGATTTATCTGGGATCGCCCAATAGGACCTTTAGGGCCATTTATGATACCGCCCACGCGGTTCTCGATGCCACTAGTTGCGTAAGCCTTTTGTGCCACAGTCTTGGTCACCCACGATGGACGAAGTGCAGCAGCTTTGGCTTGGAACGGAGCCGCTTTGGATTGAATGGCTACAGCAGCTGGACCTGCCACAGTTCGCGCTGCAGTGTGGGCATAAAGGCTCAAAACCATCGCCCCAACCTCCAGTGGCAGCGTGCTCAAGCTCGCGCCACGAATAGAGCTAGGGGCAGTAGATGTAGAGAGTACACGGAACACGGGGCTATTGCCAAGCACCTTCTTCTTGAGTCCTTGGCAGAGTACTAGCTGAAAATAACCATCACCTGCTTCGGCTGGAATCCGCACAACGGCAGTCTCACGTAGCTGATGTGTATCACGCGGACGAGACGGAGCCTTCTTAAGAAATTTCTTGATATCGCGTTGCCAAGCTCGTTCATCATCCGGGATAACCTGATCGGCCCTCAATGGCATACCCGGGGTCACATCTAGCCAGCTATCTCGGAGACGAAGGAGTGACTTGAATTGCATCCCGGTCTTCCCGGTCCAACCTTTGCTCTGCAACCACAAGGTGTGTTCCGGTGGTAAGGGGACATCAGAGAAGATTGATATAGCGACCGATGTAGTGGGTCCACGGTAGAACACAAGCCCATGGGAGTGTCGCAAAATGGTGACATGTTTGTTTGATTCCGTCGGACGATTGATTAGACCAGTGAGGAAATGCCGAGCTTCACTGTATGCCTTTTGAACAGGCGTCGGCGGAGGAGTCGGAGATGAAGTTGGCCCCGCTGTCCTTGGTCGGGGCAGTGAACCCGGACTTACAGGCCTAGGGGGCGGTCCATAAAGGTCCGTATAGGATGGGGGCTGTGATAATGGGGGTGGCACAAGAGACGGGGTACTGACAGCATAGGCCGTTTGATCGGCATGCGCCGTCGCTCGCAAGTTCGGATTTGACACGGGCTTACGCCTGACGCGAAATGAATCTGGAGAATAATTTGGGTCTAAATATCCAGACATTTTCTACATGATCCTCGAAGAGTCCATCTTTTCTTTTTAAAGGGGTGCAGCCAAGGGTGATTGGCCCAAGCTCTGTTGCAGCCTGAGGCAGAGTTATATTGGTGCCTGAGTTTATGCCTGAATTTCTATATCGAACAATTTGAACAGACACGAGACAGGTACGGTTTATTCGCATTCATCTCCATCATGAATCTATTGATTTTCCAGCAATTTTGTAGAATGCTCAATCTCGTTGTGTGAGAAACAAATGTTCATGATTTTCACCATTTCCGCAGCTATTTTTGTCAGCTGATATATATTCCATATATTCCAAGGCCATAACACCAAACGTACCTGATATTCTATCGCCAGCTACATCCTTTTCATCCCTTCCATTGATCCGAGTATAGTGGAGGACAAGGTCGACCCGCGGCCGACGAGCTTTCTGGTACATTTCGAGTCGCATGGGGATATCGTGCGGTGTGCTACCATAAGGAAGCAAGGTGGCAATGCTGATGGCATCTTCAATTGCCATAGCTGCTCCCTGTCCCATGTCTATCGAATTGTCAGTGTATGTAGTGTACTCAGTGTGTCCATTTAAAGCTATTCATTTGCTTACATGGCTGGAACGGATGTGCGGCGTCCCCTAGAAGAGCAGCATGGTCTCGAGTCCAGGTCGGAAGTGCCTCCATATCGTACAAATCCCATACTTTGAGGTTTCTATCCGCGCTTGCGATGATTTGCTGAACACCAGGTGAAAACTTGGAAAAAGCCTTAACAATCGTAGCCTTGTCTCCAGCCGCCTGCCAGCCTATCAATATCAATATGTCAGTGTCTTTCTAGGCTAAACCTCAAGAATATCTTACTGTCGCTTTGACCATCGGCCTGAACTTCATGCAATGGGACAAAAGCACAAAGATTGAGAATTTTGCTATCAGAGCAAGGGTAAGCCACGAGCCGCCGATCATCAGATGCCCACTCAATAAACACGCCGGTGTCTCGCACAAAATCCACAGTGCTTGCGTCTTGCCTCAATTGATCTGTGGGGAGTAGCCAGCGAAAGCATGACTTGCCCACGGGGTATGGGGAGGGAGAGCCCGGGGCGATACTCTGGCGAATTTGGGACTATAAAACAGTCAGAACAGAGACGAGAGTCGGGCAGACACTGGTATTAATAATCTGATATTCATACATGCAGTCCATCGGCACCAATGAGTAGATCAGCTTGGAAAGTGCGACCATCAGCAAGAGTGACCGACGGGCAAGCCCCTTCCAGATTGACTTCGGTGACTTTACACCGTGTATGCAGCGTTGCAGTTTCAAGGGCACGTTGCTTAAGGTGATTGTGTAGCTCAACTCGATGCACGAGGTACCACTCCTGTGTTAGAATTAGAACCTTGTCCTGGCTAGATCCGCTTCATTCGCCTACTGCTTGCCAATGATGACGAGTATCGGCAAACTCTCTCTTGTACATCAACTGGCCATCAAATCCATATCGGTGTATCTGGAGAAAGCAAAACAAAAGTATCAATTTAAGCCACTTTTCTTCTCAAGAGACAAATCTGACCTCATGAAGCAATGTGCCTCCGAAATCAACCGGATCAATGCCCATCCAGCGTAGCAAGGCAGTGCAATTCGGCGGCAAATGGACTGCAGCACCAGCCTCCTTCAAAAAAGCCGACTTTTCCAAAATCTAAACAAAGTGAGAAATTGGAGGTGTACTAAGCTTGCTAGTTATTTGTGGGGACATACAACCACATGATGCCCCTGCTTTCCGAGGGCAATAGCTGCCGAGAGACCAGCAATACCCGCGCCGATAACAAGGACTTCAAGAGGCTGATCAAAGGCTGTCATGGTGAAGAACCTCTGATTTTAGATACATTGACTAGTCGTCAGGAATCTCTGAGGTGGGATTTATAGCGATATGTTCTCTCATCCGAGGTTCCTAATTTGGAAATCCCCGACTTTTATATCCGAGTTGCCTAGGAAAAGTGGATGCTCAAATGCTGCTAGATCGTCCGAAATCTCGAAGTGCGATACTTTTTGGACATAAAGCATGTTTCATGTTCTTGAATATTGTTGGGCCGAGGTGATCGACACTGCATTGTTGGGCACATTTTTCGCATTCGCATCTTTTCCCTTCCAGTATATCCAGGCTAGGGTGGGAAAAGAACAGATCAAAGTACCGTAATTAAAATCCAACCCATCCTTTGTTGGAGTATCTTCATAACTACAAACCCATATTTCCACAACCGTTGTGCGCTGTCATGTCAGGTAGTAGTGTCTAGGCGCATTCCGCGGTAACCTAGATGTCTGGCTTGCTTGGACGAGTTCTTCACCCGGTGTCCTCCGCGAGCTTTCTAGGGCACATACAGACGCTTCATCTCTAGCCATCAGAGATGCGCCGGAGCGCCACATATCTGAGGGTAGAGGGGGACCTTCATCTTGGGATGAACAGCGTAGTCCCACTAGATGTGGAACCCCCGAGCTTCTCAAGGCATAGTTCGTCATGCGTGAGAAGTTCTGATCACGAAAAATCATAAACATTCGCAAGATGCCATCCAGCCATGGGCCTGATTCACAGCTATAATCACGGTACCAAAGCTCTAAAATATTCCTACAAGGTTGGTATGACATCAAGGCCTACTAGATTTCGAAACGTGGCTGAAGAACGAGAGCGAATTTTGTTAAAACTGAAGGAACTACTACATATTGAAAACAATATATCGACCCCTGTACAGTGAGCGCTCATGAAAAGTGATTTAGGCAAGTAACGCGATGACTCTAAAGAGGGTAGCTGTAGTAGGTTTTTTTCTCTTCATAAATTTCAGTAACTTGGACTCAAAGAAGCATACCACCCAGTTTATTGATATACCCCCCCCCCTTGTCTCGATTTGACATACATGATAAATATCACCCATTGTACAAAACATCAAACTTATCAACTCCCAAATCAAAATACCTGCATGCATATACATATCAAGTTACTGATAAGTAACAGAGAACTCGGTGTCACTTAGGAGTTTAACGTGGGCCTTCACATTGCCATTCTGCTGGATATCCAGAACGGCAACGTTTTTGACACCATACTTGGCACCACCGGCCTCAGCCTGGGCACCAGCAAAGTCGATCTTGCCGAAGTTGGCCAAGGGAACCATGCTGTTACCGGAGTTGAAGTCCTCCACTATCCATTCGACATTTTGACCAGCGAGAGTAGCGGAGGCCGACGGTGCAGATAGAGTCTTGGTCACACTCTGGCCGCTCGACTTATTCTCGATGATGGCAACACCCTTGCTAGGCGAATATGACTGGACTTTCGCAACCACAACATCGCCTGCAGACAATTCTATGTCAAAGTTCTCCGCACTCAAAGGATACCACTCGTACCAGGCGTCAAATGTCTGTTTGCCATTCTGGATATAGGCATCGATGCCAGTCTGCAGAATGGCTTTGGTGTAAGTGTCGCCATCAATACCGACCCAGGCGGACACAGCCTGCATATCGCCAGACTTATCGGTGGCCGTCGGCTCGGGGACAGTGAACGTTGCAGACACAGCGGTGTAAGTGGCACTGGGGGGTGGCTTCTCGCGCACCACCCCAGCCCAGTTCTTGCTATATTGGACTTTGGCTCCCTGGGTTGTTTGCTTGAGCAGAACGCCCTTCTTTTCAGCAGGTAGTGACTGGCGTGATAGAGCGCCACGGGCCTGCAGGCGGTCACCCAGGCCGCTGCGAGGGGCAGCAAGTGAGCTGCCTGCTAGTATAGCGGTAGTCAGGATTGTAGTGGTCGTGAACTTCATATTGGCGCGGACAGTGGTGAGTCTGAGCAGATCATGGAACGGTATAGATAGTAAGGAGGTGGAGATATGATCTAAGGAGCCTAGTGTCCTTTAGGCACGCACGGCCTTGATGGTGCTTATATTCTATATCTCATGTAATTTTTGCATGCGGCACGATATCACACCAAATCCGCATGGGGAAACGGAGCTCGTGGCGTAGTACCGATGACCCCAGGCACAAGATGAGAGAGACAGTTAGGGACCCACTAGAGTGGAGATATGGAAAGGGAAGAAAAGCAGGTCATTCCCTGCAAATAGCGTTGATTAACACTTTTATGAACTGCGATTACAATTGCAGTTGTGTTGATCTTCTCTTTCCCTGGTGTTTGCCCATGGCTCAGGTTAGGGTTGAATTCCTGTTGTCGTCATGATGTTAGACCTAGATCAAATGAGTAGCTCAGCCGATCTTGCGGGTTTCTGTGACAGACACATTCCTGGAGACAGAAACGTCTGACAGCGGAGCCGCGACGGAACAGACGAAGATCGCCAGATCCCGATATCTTGCAAGCCATGAGATTCACCAACTTGAAGTTATATGCACCTCATTTTAATAGTGTAGATTTTGTTTGCAGGTGTCGATATTCCTGGGTTGGGGGATTATTCCACATCTGTGGGGTCTTTCGTGACCATTTTCTACTGTTCGTCCTGGCATTCTCATCTACCGATCTGCGAACTGTGAGTCCTTGTGGGAGACGTCATAGATGATAGAACAAAGCGAAAACCGGAGAAGGAGAGAGTTCCACAGCACAACTCGTGGGAGCGTACTTGTAATGTCACCTGCGTGCGGTTAGTATGCATACCAAGCAAGGGATGACAACGTGTTCGCATTCCTGAGACAGCCGTGGTCAAGCATCCGGAAACAGTACAATATACACCATATTAGCAGTCGCTTGACTTGAAGCCAACTATTCTTGTGTAGTGGTAGATCAAATTGTACAACTCTCGCGTGCTGATCTGTGGGAAATGGGGGACGACCAATATTGCATAGTCGGACAGTTGAAGTTTAGCTTCAGTAAGGGATATCTCTCTTTTAACTGTTGCGTTCTCTTGATATGTTGTGAGCTCATCCTTGTCGCGTGCGATGGATATTGATGAAGGAATCAGATACCCTGGAAACAAAACATAGCTTCCTTGTCAAGAGTAAATAGGAAATAAGAAGGTTCAAATCAATTCAAACAGACACAGATACAAAAAAAGGATAAAAGGATGGATATGTGTCTGAAAATCGTCAAAAACCTCCCTTCAACTGCAAATCCTCGCCTACGTTTTTCAGCATGAAGTCACATAGGGAGCCGGCGCATCTCGGCAAGAGACCAGAACTTGCGCATATTGGCCGCTCCAAGAGTTTGCACTTCTTGGTCTAAATGTGTCCACAGAACCTTGCCAAACCCTTCCATTAACCGCTTCACCTCTTCGCGGCTCAAATCTTCCTCGCCGGACCGACACTGCTCAAGATACTTCTCGAGTTTCTCAAGTCCCGCATGAATCTGTCTGTGCTGACCCAATAGCTCGAGCTCCTTTCGAAACTCGGGCATCCTTTTCGCTAATACGGGGAAGATATGTTGCTCTTCAATAGAGTGATGAAAATCCAATTGCGAGCAAAATTGAAGGCCCATCATAATCATCTGGCGGGCGGAGAGTGCCCGTTTCCCAGAGCTTTCACAAGCCTCCCAAAGCTGATTCCACGTTAAACGGAAATGGCTATGCTGCATGAGAGTTAGTGGAATGCAAATAAAAAGATTAATCTCCATAGGGCGATAATAAGCTCACAAACCCTTCCATTCGCTCCGACAAGCTGTTATAAACTCGGAAATCACTCGCGGACAATGGCTGAGTGTCGCCCAAGTCCCCAGAAGAAGAGGCCATCTTTTTGGAACCCATTGCATGGAGATTTCGAGGAAGAAAAGCTGACCGAGGGATGGCCAAGAGTAATGGCGGAGAAAAGCGAAAACGCATGGGGCGGCAGTTGGAAGAATTTATTGCCGAAAAATAAAAGATATGGACTTGAGTAGCGTAGTAAGTTAGAACAATCTGGGGTTGATGTGAAAGCAGAGACTTCTGATTCGGAGTTTCTCGAGGTCTATTTTTAGGAAAAGTCCACAAGGATCGAGGTTGATTTCATTTCCTATGGAGACATACAAATTTTTACATATACGAGAATATTCCAGATCTTCAATGGATGTTTGCCACCTCGGGCGAACCGTTGGACAAAAATCTAGTACTCACTGGCTAGGGAAATAGTTAAATCTCCATTTCGATATAAGCACTTCTTCGGCGCGACCTCGACCATCAATGGGTCGGATCGCAATTTGACATCCGTGCTAGAAAGTTGGATGGGAAATGGAAAGGTTAGCAAGTGTGTGCACAGAAAAGAAAAAAAGTTATGTTATTATCAATACACATCGGGGGCACCGGGGCCGGGCGAGAAAATAGTAAGACAATATGCCGCCGGGAGGGGGAATCGAAAATATTAGACAGTAAAAGGTCGTAACGCCGTGGATGTGAGAATAATAAAACAATCAGAGCTCCGGGTGTTCAAGCTCCTTCCTGGCTGGCGGCCGGAAGTTGCCAGACGTGAGTTCCTTGATGGCAAGGTCGAACCGGGCGCCCATCATCCAGGCGGCGAAGATCATGACACTAGCGATGATGACAACGATGATGCCCATGAGAGCCATCATGAAGTAGACGTCATTCTTGTTCTCGTCGTCTTCTTTCTTCCTCTGTAGCTCAGCCGCAGTGAGTTCACCAGAAACCTTGCGGTTGGCAACCTCGGCAGATTGCGTCGGGAAGATGGTCTCAATGAACTTCTCGATCTGTCCGCAGACAATGCTGATCTTGAGGAAGTTGGGATCCTTGGGGGTATTCTTCTTGTGGATTTTGCGGGTGTACAAGCGGAAGGTGTCGCACAGGACCGACAAGTTCTGGGTAGACTTGTGCATCAGTTCACATGCATCTCCCTTGGTGATCTTAATGTTGCGCTTGAAGATGTCGGGGTTGCGGAAACACAACTCCATTGTGGCGATGGCCATCGACTGGGGGATTGCACAGAAGTTGAAAACACTCTGCTCTCGCAAACCGGCCAGGTAGAACAGGCACTCCTCAGCGTGCTCCAGGGCGTTCAAGACCATCTCAGAGTTGCAGTTGAGGGCTGCGTCGAGGTGCTCTGGCTTGAAGAGATCCTCAAAGTTGTCGACATGCTTGGACCAAATTTCCTGGGGCCAGAATCGTCGATTATCATCAAAGTCCTCCCGGATATCACGGATGATGTTGGTCTTCTGGAGGAAAAGACCCATTGACTTATGCAACTTGGGGCGCTTCAACAGAGCTGGGTTACCGAACCCGGCCTCGACAAAGAGGCGGGTGAGGCCCTCGCCAACCAATCCAGCGACATAGTAGCAGTAAAGATCATACTCCTCCTTCGTCTTCACACTGGCATCGTCATTCTCTGCCTTCACGGCATAGTCAGCCATGCCATTGCCCATCTTGTCGGTGATGTCCTTGATGATAGCTTGGTATTCAGGCTTCATATTCATGAACTCAGTGATGATGTGGTTGAACTGAACCAGCAGCTCACGGTCCTTCTCCTCCGGTCGATTCCCAGTGAAAGTCCAGCCATCTTGTGTCAGGATATCCTTGAAGTTCCGGAGGAGCGGTTCCTTCGTGGCCAAGGGAATGGAAGTGTCATCCTCGATGGTATCCAGCCCACGAAGAACCAAGTAGAAAACGCAGATAGGGATCAACAGCTCCGGGTGCAATTCCTTGATCACGGCACTAAAGCTGCGACTGGTTTTGTCCAAAAACTTGAAGCAGGTCTTCTGATTCTCGGTCTCGTTCTTCTCGTTACGCTCGTGGGGCGGATTGTGCCAGACTTTCCTATGCGACGTAGGTGATTAGCTTCGCATGTAATAATGGGACAATGTGTCCATTTCAAAGGGGAAAAGGTCGAGTCTAAATGATCCCGCAGAGCGGGGTGGCCAGAATTTCTTCAGAGTTGTTTTTTCTCAACAGTTATAGTTCAGACAGGGATAACTAATGGTATCTCATCATAAAAAATAAAGGCGTAAAAATGGACCGAGGTGACATTTGCGAGTTTCAGGACATACCATTGGACAATTGACCTCAGCTGCATGGGGTGAAAGGAGTAGTATAGAGCATTGCCGATGAGACCCATGGTGGGCGGGGAGGCGCGTAAGCCGGGGGATGTTCAAGGAAGTATTCAGGTGCACAGTAGCGCAATCTTCAAAAAGTGAAGTAAAATTGAGGCAGAATCCGGAAGAAAAGGAATTGAAGCCAAGAATAAATAGAAAAAAACAACAAAACCTGGGGGACCTGCGGATGGGGGAGGGAAAAGGGGAAAAGGCCAGAGCAGATTAAATGCAGAGTTAGCTTGCACGTGACCGGAACAAACCATGCATACAACCCCACATGATATCAGCGCCAACTTCCGAAAATATCTTGAGGTTCTGCCTAAACACAGGGTTACTGTTTTTTGTTTTCTTCAGACCTTTGACTCTGTTAAACTCATATCTTCCCTTGACACCGTTCTATTCTCAAGTAAGGCTCGGTCACTGCGATGGTTGCCGATACTGCCTACTACGACGCCCTGGGTGTGCCACCTACGGCCACCGAACTGGAGATCAAGAAGGCCTACCGGAAGCTAGCTATTGTTACCCACCCAGGTATGACCACCTTGAACTTTGTGTTTCTTTGCCAATTTTTCTAATCCATTACCATAGACAAGAACCCCGGAGATGAAACCGCACACGAACGCTTCCAGGCGGTATGATTGCGCAACCCTAGGCATGATGCATATTACGCGAGACTGACATTCTGCTACTATAGATCGGTGAAGCATACCAAGTCCTGAGCAATGAAGATCTCCGAAAGCGATATGATAAATTTGGAAAGGAGGAGTCAGTGCCTGGTGGTGGTTTCGGTACGTTCATCACATGCGTGCTAATGTCCAGCACGACATTTCTGATTTGTCTTATACAGAGGACCCGTCCGAATTCTTCAGCATGATCTTCGGTGGCGAGGCCTTTGTTGATCTCATCGGCGAAATTTCCCTTATGAAGGACCTCACCGCGACCATGGACATCACGATGCAGGAAATGGAGGAGGAAGAACTGGCTCAGTCGGCGGAAGAAAAACTCAACATCCACGACGAGGAGGTGAAGGCTACAGGTGGCGACCCTGCTGCTGCTTACGAAACCCACGACCTCACGACAGGAGCCGCACCTGCAGCAGCAGCTGCTGCTGCTGGCCCCTCCGAGAAGCCAACCTTCGAACAGAGCTCTGGAGCCAGCACACCTCGACGAAACTTCGGCCAGCAAGCTCTTATGGACAAATCTGAAGAAGAAGCTCGCATGGAGGCAGCCGGTCTGTCTCAGGAAGAGAAGGAGCTGCGCAAGAAAGAGAAGAAGAAGGGTCTGTCCAAGGAGCAACAGGAACGCCTTACTGCCTTCGAGGATGAACGCAGAAAGGCTCGCGAAGACCGTGTCAACACACTGGCAAACAAGCTGATTGATCGTTTGAGCGTTTGGACTGAGACAGACAAGGGCAAGGATGTGTCACATGCTTTCGAGGAAAAGATCCGACTTGAGGTCGAGAACCTGAAGATGGAATCTTTCGGTCTGGAAATTCTCCACGCTGTGGGTCAAACCTACGTTCAGAAGGGTACTTCCTTCCTCAAGTCACAGAAATTCCTAGGTATCTCTGGCTTCTTCTCTCGCTTGAAGGACAAGGGTACCCTTGCGAAGGAGACATGGACAACCATCTCCACGGCCATTGATGCGCAGATGACTATGGAGGAGATGGCTAAGATGGAGGAACGCGGTGGCGAGGACTGGACTGACGAGAAGAAGGCTGAATACGAGAAGAGAGTCACTGGCAAGATTCTCGCTGCGGCGTGGCGCGGCAGCAAGTTCGAGATCCAGAGCGTCTTGCGTGATGTCTGTGACCAGATCCTGAATGACAAGCGCACCCGACTTGAGAAACGTGTTGAGCGTGCGCATGCGCTGGTGATTGCCGGCAACATTTATGCGAAGGTATCTAAGGGACTTTTCCATCTATTAGTATCATGCTAACCACTAGCTTTTAGGCCGCACGCGACCCCGAAGAAGAAGGCGATTACATGGCCTTCGAGCAGCTTATGGCCGAGGCCATGAGCAAAAAGGGCAAGGATGAAAAGGACAAGGACAAGAAGAAGAAGAAGTCCAAGCATGACCACCAGGAGACTCACGGCGGAAAAGAGCCTGTGGAAGAGACCACTGTTTGATTTTCTCATTATCCATCTCATTTTTCCTTCTTTTTTTGGTTGAGTTCGATCTCGTACCTTGTTTTTCTCGATAGCCGATTCATTATATCCTGGACATACATGTTGGGTTTGCTTTTTACCTTCTCACCTTTTTCTCGGGCTTGACAATTCTGCTTTTTACAGCGACTGGACGGTTGCGAGTTGCGACGTGCGCGCAATTTGTTCGAGCGATAGATTTGGACTATATACTTCCACTGCTCTTTGATTAGTTGGAATGGCACGGCGGTGGTTTGATACGGATTGTATGGACATAGATGCTCTTAATAATCACATGGAAACAAATATTGACATATATTATTAGTACTATAAGTAGTATACGAATGGAGACAACACGCAGATGTAATCCGTCGCCGATGAAAGCTATAACTACCCCCGTGCGAAGAACACGACCAACGCCACGGCGAGAGACCAAAACCAAACTGCGATGATTATACTGGGCTGATCTCATGTGCAACTGTGGGGTGCTCGGTTTCACACCGTAGGTGTAGGTGAGAGAAGGGCTAGGCGATTGGCTGTTCGGCTGTTCATGAAGACCCTTAGCATCGCAAGATCACACCTTTCATGAGGCTACAGAACTCGTACTCATCGGCACTTCGTGCGCAGGGCCAGCAGTAGTCCGTTGTGCACCAACTCCGTCCTCCTTCCTGAGTGACTGATACCCAGCCCAGTCAGACACCAAGACACCACACATGGCAAGAATGGTGAATACGACGAGGGCAACAAAGAGTAGCCTAGATATAAGTTGTGCGTCAGGTCGGTTTCTTGTACTGCGTGTATATGGACTGGAGACTATCCGACGAACTTACCAAAGGAGAACGCCAAAGGCAAGCACAGCATTGTAGTATGGGTTTGTACTAGTACCGCCACCAAGGAGACTGGCAAGGTCAGCAAAGCAGGCCAGCCAGAATACCATAGTGATGAAGTAAACGGCCACGAAGGTAGCGGCGAGGACGGTGTTGAGCTTTGCGCTCACAAAGCCCTTGCGCGTATAGTACCAGGGCAGCACTAGGGCGGCCACTGTCACCAGGATAGTCCACACCGAAGAGAAGACAAGGAAGACGAGGATAGCCGGTGGTTTCACATTGACTTCACTGTATGAATAGCCCGAATATGCGCTCCAAGTCGTGATTTCTTGCGCGCCAGAATATGCGGCAGCAATGAAAGCCGAGAGACCCAGCTCAACGATGGCAAAGACTAGGGAGGTGCCCAATAGGGCATACAAGACAATACTAAGGGCCAACATAGTGAAGCCAATATAGCTAGTATATCGCTACTTCGGAAGTCTGTGCAGGTACAAGATGAAAATCAGGAAACAGAAACCGATCGAAACTTCCTCAAGGGAATGCCTTGTCATTTATTTCTTTCACATGCGGCTCATGAGCTCGTAATGGGAAACTATACAGCCATGAGCCTTATTTGGAACTAGGCCAGTTGATATGCAGATCAATGCCAAGAAGTGTGGACTTCAAAGACTCGTGTCGGATACGGGCAGCCACATCGACATGGCGTCTACACTGACCCGAATTGGTACAACGTAAGCGAGTGGGTGTTTCGGGGTATCATGTAGGGTTGAAGTTTTTAATCTCCAAGCGCAAGAAGTTGGCAGAAGGTTGTCATGTGCCGAGATGTGATGTGTTTTCCCCCTTTCGCCTTTCTCTTTGATGCATCACAAGGTTTATACGAATCGAAAGCCTATTTGATGAGCACAGCCTGTTGGCCCTTTTTTGGCCCTCCCTGGTCAACCTTGTCAATCTCCGCCTATTTCTCCCACTTCTGTCCCAGTGATACGGCTTATAGGGGTTTGTACTTCGTGTTAATATCTGGGAATAAGAAGCGGATCCAATCGTATTGCAAGTAGGATTAGCTAACACTGAAGAAGATAACTGGGAGAGAACAAGAAGAAATAGAAGAACAAAGTAGTGAAGTCTTTGTCGGCGTATTCCTTATTGTTACAGTCCAATCAATATTCAATGCTCTGTATTTCTGTATTGGCTCTGGGTAGACCTCGACACTACTCGGAGTATGAAGACCGGCATACCGGGGATTTATTAATCCTAAATATGCAGTAATATTTCTTATGTAATGAGGATAGTATAACTAACGTATTTCACATGCGAGTGGTCCACACAAGCGAGTGGTCCACGCAAAAACACATAGTAAAAGCGATATAGTTGTCACTTATATTTCAACAACTAACGTTTTTATCTAGCTTCATAACTTGCCGATAATGATTGATAAGCATTTTTAATATAATATATCAATCTTAAACGAATTGAATACTTCCATTGTTGTGGTATTAAAAATTACGCCGCTGGATTCTACAAATATATATATCTCAATTACCAGCCTATTAAATTCCCTCAAAATATATAAAGTAACTAGATATCATATAAGCAGCATTAGGCTGCAAGAGCCAGTTTATATACAAAACCGTTGTTGCACTAACATGTTGTAATTTATCGCTTTTACTATGTGTTTTGGCGTGGACCACTGGCTTGTGTGGACCACTCGCATGTGAAATACGTTAACTAAATAACGTATTTCACATGCCAGCTGCGCACACAAGCGAGCTGCGCAGCCCAAAACACATAGTAAATACGATATATTCTGCGTTTATATCTCAACAACGATGTTTTTATTTTAGCTCCTTATTTGTCGATAGCCATCGATAAGACTCATTAGCTTCATATATTAATTTCGAAGAGAATAGAAGGCTATGTTATCATGATTTCGAAAATTACCGAAAATTACGTTGCGAAAAACTAGAAATATATATACCGGAATCATAATATTATAAAATTTCTTTAACCTCTAACAAATGGCTAGATATCATATAAAAAAGCATTAGGCTACAAAGAAAGTTTATATAAACAACCGTTGTTGAAATATCAAGTTGTAATTTATCGCTTTTACTATGTGTTTTGGGCTGCGCAGCTCGCTTGTGTGCGCAGCTGGCTTGTGAAATACGTTAACTAAATTGTCAGGAAAGCCGATACAGCAATACAGAGACTTTTCCATCAATTGGACTATATTACACAGTACAAACACAGTAGTTACAGAGTGTGCTGACATATAGTAGCCTTAGAGTTCAGGCATCATCAAACGTGACCACAACTAAGCCTTTCCCCCAGCCTTGGCTGTGATATCTCCGGGGGCTTCGGAGCTTCGGGGATCACCGCTCAAGAGCTTATCTCGGATATAACATCATATCTTTAATAAGTTCGAGGTCACATCGTGCCGGATTTAAACGGTAGCCGGCGGAAATGAGTGTATAGAACATTTCCATACTAGGAAAGAGATTTGGTCGTCCCCTTTCCCCCCTCACAGCCATAACATGTACATAAAGTCGGCAATTCCACCTGTTTTTTTCCTTCCAGGATTCATCTAGTGGACAATAAACATCAGTATGGCGTCTCTACAATCTACCATCGCCCTGTTGGCCGTTGTGGGCAGCACTGCTGCAATGGTCTCAAGCACCTCTTCGGCCGAAGCTGGTCCCACTGGTCTCTCATATCCGTCGGGATTTGATATGAAAACAAGCTGGGCCAACCTCAGCCCTTATGTCGATGCTTCGGATTTCAATGTGTCCAAAGGTTTTCCATTGGAGTGCGAACTGTCGCAGGTGCATGTGCTACACCGTCATGCCCAGCGGTATCCGACACAATGGTTGCTTGATGGGGAAGGCTTGGAGAACTTCGCCCAAAAACTGGCCAACTACTCCGAGAAACATCCACACAAGAAGATCGGGTCTGGAGCTCTGGATTTCTTGAATGATTGGGAGTACATGCTTGGTTCAAACACTCTGCTCCCTACTGGTGCCGCCACCGAAGCCAGTTCTGGCGCGCAATTCTGGAGCCAGTACGGCCGATTGCTCTATCATGCAGGAAGTGGCGATGCGGTCTGGAATGCATCGTTGAATGTATATCCAAATGGCACCGCACGTCCAAAGCCGACTTTCCGCTCGACCTCATACCCCCGGATTTTGGAGAGTGCTCGCTGGTGGCTGGGTGGCTTCTTTGGAAACACAGGAGCCAATAGCTCATACTCGGAGTATAATCTGACCATCATTCCCGAGGTCACAGATTTCAACAACACCCTATCGTCAACCAGTGCCTGCTCCAATGGCTTGGAGCCAGGTGACAACGCGGCCCCTATATTCGCTTCGTCTCTTGCCAAAACTGTCCGGAAGCGCCTTGCTGCACACCTGCCCAAGGGTCTGGAACTCGACGATGCTGACATTATGGCGATGTTCAATATGTGCCCCTATGAGTATGCCAGTCTGGGTCGGTCGTCTTTCTGTGCGCTCTTCACTGAGCAGGAGTGGCGCGACTATGAGTACTATGTCGATCTCCAATTTTACGGTAGTTTCGGGTTTGGCTCCCCCAGTGGCCGCGCCCAAGGAATTGGGTATGTTCAGGAACTGGCAGCACGCCTACAGTCCAAGCTCATCATGAGCAGTGACAGCAGCATCAACTACACGTATGATGACAACACCAAGTCTTTCCCGCTCGATCAGCCACTGTACATGGACATGTCGCATGACGATGTCATCGTGTCTGTACTGGCTGCTTTGGGTCTGGATTATTTCAAGTACGGTCCTCATGGCCTGCCTGTCTCGGTTGCGCACGCCCCGCGCCGCAACTTCAACATCAACCAGATGACCCCCTTTGGCGCTCGTCTGTACTCTGAGATTTGGACCTGTCCCAAGGATGTCTCGTTCAAGCATCTCCAAGTACAGAAGTACAAGAACCCGGATCTGTCATCGAAGTCTCACACTACTGATTACATCCGATTTGTGTTGAACAATGCGCCCGTACCTCTGGATGGTCTCAAGGCCTGTGATGGCTCAGTGAATGGATTCTGCAAGGTCAAAAAATTCCTTAGCGCTATTCCCGATCTCAACAAGGAGGCCATGTACCAAGAAGCTTGCTTTGGCGACTACAACATTACCAGCCAAGTTGGCAATGGACAGCCGAGAAAGCCTTGATAGTCCAAGATACACCGGTCTCTCATCTTAGCGATACAGACTAATGTACATAAACTCTGTTAGCTAAGATTTAAAGATTGGGACAAAGGGGATGTATAAGTCGTACGATGTCGGTTCCAATTCATCCGACAAAGATACCGAGTATATTGTCGATCAGGCTGATTGAGATCGATCCGATTGGATCTTAAATCTCCAACCTCCGGGTATAGAGGGGTCGAATGATTCGGAGTTGATTGGAAACCTCGGTATACTGGATCACACCACTTCAGTCTTTTGATCTCTTGCATAGTCGAACATACCTCATAGATGTTTGATTTATGTGGTATTTAGCACCATATCCCATGCTCTACACACATGTGCACAAAGTTATGCCTTTCTGTGGGATTTCCCCGCAAGATCGCCCTCGGTCCGCTCGTTTTAACATGAGACCGACAGTATTGCGCTTCATTTGAGAGATATTCATCGCCACGGAGGCTATGTGTGTATAGAATAATGAATATAAGATCAACATGACTGGATTCCAGTAGATACTATTTCCATACAAAGGTCTTCTCAAATCTATACAGGATTATTCCCATCGCCTTACTAAAGAGATGGCATCACTTCTTATACCTAGTATCAAGGATGCCCCCCTAGTTCGCTCCTTGTTACAAGCCTCGCTGAATCAGCAGATACTATGTGTGCTACTAGGGCTAGCAACATATCTAGCCTTGGTATCTTCGCTACGTTTCCAACGTCGGCAGACCATACACAAGAAATATAGTTACTATGGAACAAGACTGGCTATGCGTAGCATGACCGATCAAGATGCCTGGGCAATTCAAAAGACAATCATGCAAACTGAGTTTCCATTTATTGTGCTCAAGTCACTGCAGTTTGCCCTCTTCCGTGTATGCAAAGCTCTTCCAAGCATATGACTTGAAACTAACATGGGACAGACATATGGCATTCCAACGATATCTACCCTCCTCCTGAATACGTCTCAGTTATCAGACTCTACAACCTCATTCAAGCGATATGCCGACACGGGCACACTGATCGGCGAATTCATGGCCTTCGACCCACGTTCCGAGCGAGCGCAGACAGCAATAGCCCGAACCAACTTCCTACACAAGGGATACCGCGCTAGCGGCAAGATCCTCGAAGCCGATATGTTATACACACTTAGCCTGTTCGCCCTCGAGCCAATCCGGTTCGTGAAACAATTCGAGTGGCGCGAGATGACTGAAATGGAACAGTGCGCGGTCGGGACATACTGGAAGAGTCTCGGCGATGCGCTGGGGATTAGTTATGAAGCTTTACCCTCTGGAAAAACTGGCTTCCAAGATGGGATTCACTGGTTGGAGGAGATCGGTGCATGGAGCGAGCAGTACGAAGTCCAGCACATGAAGCCACACCCTCGCAACAAGGAGATTGCGGAAAAGACGATCGACGTGCTGGTGTATAATTTGCCCAGATTCTTGAAGCCGTTGGGTGGATACTTTGTGTCATATCTGATGGGAGATCGGTTGCGAACCGCGATGATGTATGTCTCTTACCATGTCGACCACCACACAGAGAGTCTAATGGATATTGTCTTCTAGGATGGAAGAACCCCCAACAGTCTTCAGCGTCATACTCGCCTTAATATTCAAGCTCCGCAAACTATACTTGCGATACCTATCACTTCCACGCCCGAACTTCATGCGCTTGGACGTGTTCACCGATAAACCCAACAAACACGGCCGCAACTGGGTGCTGGTGTACGACGGAGCTCCGTTCTATGTGCAGCCTACGATTTGGAACCGCTGGGGCCCTATGGCATGGTTCAAGTGGGCACTCGGACAACCTTTGCCTGGTGATGACGGCGACAAGTATTACCCACAAGGTTATTACACCCATGATCTGGGACCGACGTATTTTGAGGGAAAGGGGTACAAGGAATTAGAGGGTTTCAAGGAGACTCTTCGTCGGCAGCGGATGGGACAGTGTCCATTTCCATGATTTGGGACTGGGCTGAACCATGTTGACGTTGATCATGATATAATGATAGTTGCATTTTCCAGGCTGCAGACTGTGAGAGTAACCATAGTGAATTCCGGTTCGGTTTCAAGACGAATGAAGACATGAGAGAACGAAGAACAATACATCAGACCAACATAATCAGAACTCTAGCATTATCAAACGTTCAAGTCAATTAGTGCGCATGGAGACATAATACAAATATAAGGCAATAATTGCACGGGTATCTTTCAAAATAGCCAGGAACAAGCGTTCGAGATGGAGCATATGATCGGGTATAGAGCTCTATCATTGACCGTTCTGTCTGATGAAAATTGTGGCTGCAATAAAAGAAAGGTATGAAGGCCAATATCATAGTACAAGTCGCTAAGCCCAAAAGAGTGAAAGAATAGCCTATATCAAACGAAAAAAATGAAGGGACTAATTCAGAATGAAAGGCATCAAAAAGGGGTATTGTGCAAAAATGTATGAGCAAGAAAAAAAAATTGAATCGTCCCGCCGGGAGACAAGGGCAAGAAATGGGATCATGTGCTCGGATCAGCAGAAATGGATGGCGTATGGGATATTGTTCCAATAGATGGCGATTCAACAAATGACACCTCGGAGGACAGAACAGGAGAGAAGACGTTGTCGGTTGAGGGGTATTCGATCGAAGGGCTTAAAAGGCCCCGGCCGCTCTCACCAATTTCACCCAACTCTTCAGGTGCTAGGACTCGGCCACCTAGCTCAATGTCTTGAATGTGGACATTATACTCAAGGGCCCGCTGTCCTTCCTTGATGAGTTCTTCGGTCCATCCTAGACAACGTTTGAGGCTTTGATTCATCCTCTGGCTGTCCACCAGGACCTCCTGGTGTCGCGCCAAGTCAAGCATGACGCGTTTCTCATCATTAACGCGGTGTTTGGCATCATGCTCGGCCAGCGAGCCCGGACTCATGATGCTTTCGTCCACAATTGAATCATCATCGCTGATGTCCGACATATCATCTGGTGATCGGTTGGAAATCTCACTTTCACCCTCATCTAGCTCACTAGTTACTGATAGTGCCGCCCCGGAGAATGAACGGGTGGAAGGTGCCATTGATATCCGTCCCGAACGGCTGAGTCGCCGGAACCGCCGAAGTTCTGCCTTTTGTTGCCGCATTTCGCGCTCCAGCGTACGATTGATGGCTAGTAGTGAAGAGTTGCTAATTTCCAAGTCCATGATCTTGCGCTCAGTACGCGCATTGAGAGCTGCCTCGCTCGGACCTTCGGATTTCCCGGGACTGAGCGGTGCAGGAGGGTATGTATCAGTGGAGACGGTCGATCCATTGCTGAAGATACGAGGACGAAGGATGGGGATCTGCTCCGACATCATGGGTGTTGCACCTTCACCAAAATGACCCCCAGATGGGATGATTGGGCTTTCTCGCAAACCATCCTGTGGATGATGGCTATGGCGGCTAGAGTCGACACTTGAGGATTTGGTATGTCGGATTAGGGTCGGTCGTGTTTTCTCGCCGATTGTGCTAGACGACGGCGAGCCAAAACGCGGGATAATTCCCAATCCATTATCAGCGCTGGCGATGTATGGTAACCTGGGATCGTCCGGAGGGTATGGAGCCGGGTCTGGAATCCCGGGAGAACTCAAGCGCGAGGAGGAAGACGCTGGTTTACTGACGGGTAGGGGGCGGGGAAGACCTCCCGATCGACGTTTGGCAGAAGTGGATGTAACATTGGATTGTTCCCCTAGCGATTTCCGCTCTTCGTCCCCGTTCGCATATATGAAGCTTGAGGCTGGAGATGTCTTCCCCTGGGGCCTCGGGCGAGGGATATCTGGTGGCTCAGAGGGATGTGATGATCGTGCATCGGACGCATGAAAGAACAGCGGAGTTCCCGATGTCATATCTGAAAAAGAATTCGGACGTGATATAGGTTGGTTCTCTGCTGTCAAAGTCTTGGCCCTTAGACTTCGGGATTGTTCCGGCTTGACCCCGCGAGCCGGGCTGCGGTCTCGACGGCCATAACCGATTGTTGACTGAGAGTAAGGTGTATGTGGAGAGGGAGAGGGGGCAGGTAATACATTTGTGGGGGAGTAGACAGCGCCATCTCGCCGAGTGGTTCGAGGACCAGATCGTGGAGTGACATTGGCGCTTAGAAAGGTCGGGACCGCGGGGGAATCGTCTTTGGAGGGGGTGGAATAGGGGTCGGGTGCAAGGCGGCGAGAAAATCCTGGACCTTGACCTGGACTAGCAAGCTTTGGTGTCAGGGGAGCTTTGTTACTCCTATGGAATGCAGCGCTGAGGGTGGGCGTAAACGGTTTGGCGAGACTGCCGTTGTTTTGTTTATCGTAGGTCATAGTTGCGGGGGGTGCAGATTATGGCATTGCGAGGTGCCACGGGACATGAGCATGGTGGCACCACAAATAATCTTCTTTTCCGTAACAAAGATTTTGTGGCCTGATGGAAAGGGAAATTCAAGAAAGTCGAGGTCGAGAAAGTCTCGAAAGTCGAGTGACGAAAACAATGACACCCGATTGGGTTTAGGGCGCCGCTTCACCGCAACGTGGAATTCCTTACTTCAACGAAGGGCCGAACTATTGATATGAGTTAGGAGAACTTGGTCGTTATTGTATTGATTCTATAATGAGACACTCAATTGGCATGCCATTGCCATTCCCATACAGAAAACGAAAAAAGAAAAAAAAAAGACGAGTATCCATACTCGCCCCTAGAAATCCCGCTTATATCCCGAATCTAGCGGCTGTCAAGTGGAGACTTGAAACACGGTGAGCCTGCAGTAAAAACAATAATTGCGGTATTCCACACTAATCCTGAGCCTGTGGGGAGAATACGCTTGGTGTTGTTCTGTCGGGACTGGCATTGCATGCCATGAAGGCATTTCAGTGGATTCAGACCTCGTCAAAGTTCACACTGGAACGACAAAGACAACTTGGGGGGCGAAAGTCATTGAAAGAAAAGCCGCTTCTGTTTTGGGTCCATTTCAGGAATACCAGCCTGTG